CTCATTCAATGATGATCAATGCGGAATAAAAGACACGTGATGAAAGCGCAAATAACGTTTACCGGGACCTAACGTGGAGTAATTACGGAACGTTATTTGCTATTAACTGGATCGAACAATAAGGCTACGGATTGAAGGGGTTTTGCAGCGGAAACAAAGCGTGAACGTTGCAGTAAATCGCTTCGCAATTATTATTAGTCATGCCTATGCAACGACACTAACAGTATTCAAAAAACGGTTGCATGATGCACTCATCAACTTACACTTTGTTACTTAACACTACGTTTCCATTCTACACCTGGAGTTTACCATGGAATTATTTGTTCTTAACTGTGGGTTTTGTGAATATAAGAGGATCGCAGGACTACAGCGAAGTAAACGATAAGTCCTTTCCTTCATTTTTAAAGTATTAACTATTTTACTATCTTTATTATCATTATTGTTATGTTGATGTCCCAACCAGCTATCCAACGGGACTTGTAAACCAACGCTACTTAACCCGTATAAATTCATTGTTCATTGTTCGTGTCAAACACTGACCATTGTTGTCCACTGCCTAAGAGTGTAAGACTGTAATCTCAGCGTTTAACCAGACAATACGTGCTCGCCATGTTACAACAAGAAGCGCAACCCGTAGTACACGGTGTGGAGAGGCATGTACTAACACCTAGCGATACTCGATGCGTATAACCCTTCCGTAATCAACCATGTTTGGACCCTTCATTCGCCGTAAACTGCCTATCGTTCTGTGTGTCACCAAGAGACAAGCGAAACTGCGTTGGTAACCATCGAGCATGCCCAAAGGATGCAGATGCAAGTCATCGTGGACCAGCTGATCTCCACTCAGCCCATGACTGTGCCTACTGTGTAAGCTGCAGCGAACAACAGAATCCTGCTAACAACACTTGTGTATCCATCACGTCAAGCCACAGTGAACTGGCTGAGCGCACCTCAGCACAATGTGGCAGTTACCACGACATGCAACAAAACACAGACCGAGTATGATGAGTGAAGTTCTGTTGTTCCACCTTAGGATACCGGTGTACAGTGCGAGAATGGTTTGGCTGACTCGACTGCAGCTAACCCGACTTACGCAGTGACGCAGCGTTTCAAGTCTGTCTATCCCGGGGTTACTGCGAGCAGACATGATGGATACACAAGTGTTGTTAGCAGGATTCTGTGGTTCGCTGCAGCTTACACAGTAGTGTTGGTGTTTGACACGAAGATAATACAACCAACCGATAGAGTCAGTTCACTTGCTAAGAGCCAGTTGGCGCGAATAGCTACCTCTGGGAAAAATGCGGACGCATTAGGGCAGAAACGCGATTGTCGCGCAGTTACGCAGCGCTGGAACGCGCTTCCACATCACGTTGTTAGACAAATAACGGTGAAGGGTTTCGTGCGTTATCTCGATGCCCTATGTTGGCAATACCAAAGGTTACATTGCTCCTAACTGATATCTCATCATCTTTCAATCTTCTTTTCTCTCATTCCACAAATGCCGTGGTATTATGATTGCTTACCTACCTTGTTCGTCTTGGATTCAGTTTCATTTCTTACTCCTGCTCACTTCACGTAACTGGCCCAGAAGTGTCTGCTAGTGCAGGATTCTTGAGGAGTAATTGTCTGTTCCGGAAGTGATGCTTTCTTTGTTTCAGCTTTATCTACATTTCAATCACTACGTCAACTCCTGCTACCACGACCTGCTAAAGTGAGAACACTCAAGGGATAGTCGTATCGTTCCGTTCCCATTTAAGCTTCACCGGTATGTGGCATGCGGAGCAACTCATCACCTGCATAGGCATAACTAATAATAATTGCGAAGCGATTTGCTGCAACGTTCACGCTTTGTTTCCGCTGCAAAACCCCTTCAATCCGTAGCCTTATTGTTCGATCCAGTTAATAGCAAATAACGTTCCGTAATTACTCCACGTTAGGTCCCGGTAAACGTTATTTGCGCTTTCATCACGTGTCTTTTATTCCGCATTGATCATCATTGAATGAGGTCAAGCAACGTCTAGCTGCATGCGTTCACGTAAAAGGCTGAACGAATTGGTCAACAGCCACACACTCCCCCCATTGCGATCAAGTAGGCACAGATCAGCGTTTGTTTTTTCCATGTCCATATGTAATCCGCTATCCGCTGGCTTTCCTAACACAAAAACCACCAACGACAAATCATATTTACTGCCTATACAACGGTAGTAACGCAAGCAAATAATTTTCTAGCCCTCGCGGGGTTGTTCTATAACGGGACAACTAAATCGCGGAAGCGACGCGAGCATACGAAATACATTTCTTGGGATCCTTCGATGGGGTTGAGTGCTGGAGAGTATGGTGCAAGACGTAGAAGTCTCTCAGAGCGATAACGGTCCTCCGAAAACACTTCCTCCAGGTTCATGTGACAGGGTGCGTTGTCGCAAACCACAACGCAACCTCGCACAAACGTTGCTCCGTTGGTATCGAGAACTTCCCGCAGCCACCCAGAACATCGCTGCTTGTTGTAGCTACCTCTCAAGATGGTACATGTTATCAAGCCATTTTTCGTCATGGCACCGACAAGGTGCACATTCGGTCCACGGCTGTTCGCCACCGTACATTGCGCTCGACTGCCACGTAGAGACCGTTTTCCTATTTCCCTACCCTCCAATCGTCTGTGCCTTTGGGGTGCGCTGATTGGTTACATGCCCTTCTGTGGGTAGAGGAACACAGTCGCACATGGTGTCACCCCCGTCCACTGTGCACAGAGGTGTGTGAGCTCATGTTTCGGTTGCGGCGTCTCAATTGGGTCCATGCCACCGATATGCGTCTGAGGTCCTATTTGCTGAAGGTGCTTGGCCAATGAAACAGCCCCTACAAAGCCAGAGAGTGGTTCATTTCCGCATACCGAAGACTCAAAATGATTGCCCCGGAGGAGCAACCCTGTTGACCCCCAGGCCTAAATGTTTTGCCCGAATGTCCAACTTTAATGGAAAAAGGTATAGTCACGTTCGACCACCACTGTCTTCGTGTTTTGGTTCGTATCCAATGGGAACACAGTGAACACTGAGCGTGTTCGACGCCTTGTTTGTGGCACAAGAAGAGGAAGTAAACTGCTCAGCACCGTTATATCACACACCGTGCTCCGATGGCTGGGCCACGTGTTGCGCATGCCAACACATCGACTCCGCGACGTGCGTTATTTGCGCGCCAGCAGTGTGGATGGTAGTAGAGGAGGGTTGGTCAAGCAATGACTTAGTCAAGAGGAAGTTTGAGGTTGGCCTCGCTTGTAGCCTCTCGGTTCCGTGGACGGGGTTCGAAAGAGGTTGAACATGTTTGGCTGATTACACTTTCTTACATGACTTGGAGCCGACCTTAGTGTCATTCTTGTTGCGAGTTGTTTTCCTCCCGCTCCCGTTTAGCCTCTCCTTCCAAACATGATCTTAGTTCCTAGTATAATACAAATTTTGCATGATACAATTATTTCGGTATGATAACCGACTGGTAGTTTTCTGGAAGGACGCCCATCCGTCACTGGTCTTTCAGCTGGCGTGCCTCTGTTGCATTTTTCTCTTGTGCATTAGGGCACAGTAGTTGAGGTCTTTTACACCTCTAGCTAACGTGTATATTTATGGTGATGAAGCCACACATGAAGAGCAAGACGGGTTCTGTCGAAATCTAGGATGAGTTCACCACATCTTCACTTTGCGTCAGTTGTTGGAGTATAGACACTCAAATTGGCGACAATGTAATTGTGTTTCTTGGCATCAAAAGAGCCTTCGATTCAGTGAATCCTTGAGCCCTTTGGGACTGTCTACTCAGGAAATGTGTGCCCGCAAAATACTTAAACCTCATCAGTATGCTTTATTCGCGTAGTTGGGGCAAAGTGGTAGATCGTAGCAAATTGTCTCTGCTCATTAGTATTTCCAGCAGTCTGAAACGGTGTTCGATTTCATCTTTCCTTAAAACTAATGACGAACTTTAGGAAACTGTGTTCAACTGACACGACTTAGCGGGTGTAGAGGTTCTCCCGAGGGACCGATCTCTTGACTTGCAGTATTCACATCTCTCCACCTGGTTTGGCAATGACCGATCGCTGCGCTGGCTATTGGTGATCAGTTGGAAATTGTCGGAAAATTTAACTGCCTAGGAACTGATGTCAGAGCCTGTGGAATGGAAGCACCGTATAGCAAAAACTAGAGACGCTTTTGCGAGTCATCACACTGTTGTGTTAATGTGACATTACTCTCACTCTGAGGGGTACAGTCCGCATTTCCGTCGGCTGTACAGTTTCGAAACCCGGCCAGTCAGATGGACTGAACTATGGAGGCTAGTTGCGTTCGTTCATCGGAGCCTTCTACGCTTAGCTCACATCTAGCGGGAACACCACGTGAGCATTGAGTGTTTTTAGCATTTTGCTTAAGACATAGGAAGAAGTCGACCAATTGACACCATTATTTCACCTAGTCAAGACGCACGAAGCATCCCACTTAGCCTCACTTGGTGCTTCTTGACTACTTTGTTCAAACCGGAAGACCATGAATACATACCATTTTTTTGTTTGCTCTCTTCCTCTCCGTTTACCTCCTCCAACGAGTATTTCAGCTCCAACGCATAAAACGAAGCATATATTTTGTTCTGCTTTTGTCATGCTTTTTTATTCCTTTTAACTATCATCCAATTGGATTGTGTTGTGTCACACTAGCCGATATGTTTCTTATCACTTGGTGAGGTGTAGAATAGTGAGAATGCTGATTTTAGTACTGTCGCTTCGCCGTTTGTTCTCTTTCTGGTTGGGTCTCTTACCTCAACCTTCTCTTCAGCTGAAGGTCGTGTATTACGGCGCTGATGCAACAACAGCTTTTCGCTTACATTTTCCTCCTTTATCTGGCTTGTTGATTGTCATCTTCATAGTGCTTTGAGCTATGGTATGTGTAAATGTGCCTTGGTGCTTTAATCCCCATTAACGAACTGAGGTGAAATGAGCCACGGATAGTCGAACTCTGGTTTGACTGGTCGAAATGACTGTTGTTATCTACGGTTCCTTTTCATTGTTTCTCAACATTGACTATGAAGTTCGTCTTTCATACTCCCTCGTGGTTTTCAGGTAAAGCTGATTGCCTTAATCCGTTTTCGTGGTTTTCTTTTCCAGTTTGATATTCCACCCATATCTTATGGTGTTTGGACCTAAAAAGCTTTCCGTCGCCTATGGCCTTACATGGCTTAGCAATTTATGGTCGCTCAAGTACAGGTATCCGTCGGCGGTTTACTCGCTACGTACGTGCCCTTTCAACAATCGTCAATCGAAAACGAATGGATTCTTCGGTTGTGCTGCTAGGTATCTGTGGGCGAGGGGACAGAGATAGTTACACTCGTGTTCGTCTGCTGTGCAGCTGTGATCTCGGCTTTCTTTCTTCGCTTGTTTCATTCAACTTATTCTCGGGACGAATAACCGCAAAACCATTTTGCACTACCCAACTTGCGGCATATAGCAGTGCCTTTGAATTATGATGAGGCTGGAGTCATTTATCATCTATTCATTTGGATGTATCATAGCTCAGCCAAAGTGGGACAAACATTTATGTGTTGTTTTGGTTATGTGGAGTATAAAAGCCCTGGTCTCCTACTTCGCATCCGTCAAACAAGCAGGGTACGCAACGCCACATCCTGTAAAGCTGGATCTACCAGTGTTCCAACTTACATCGCCACATCCGTGGTAAAGCGAAAACTTTCAGTTAAGTACAATTGATGGTTTCGACCGCCTGAAATCTGACAATGACTTGGACATTGCACTGATATCGGTCACTTACAGCTGGATGCGAAGGTGAGCTGGTAGCGATTTCTTAAACCTCTACTTAATCTTGCTTGAATCGTCGATCATCTCAATGTATTCTCCACTGCCATAATGGTAAGCATGAGTAATGCAGCGATGGGTTCAGCGTATCTGCCTTTACTGAAATAGCCAATCAGGCGAAAGTCACATTTGTGTTCACATCTAATATTGATTGTGAACTTTTTCTATTTTGACTTTACTTATCTCAGCTTCCACTAGTGCGGGTCCTGCGATTCCAGGGGACGTAAACTGGGTGATACCATTCGATATTAGTGGTCCCTGAAACTCACTCCCACTTTTGAAACGGGGCTTCGGATTCACAACCCTCAGTGGTTACCATAGCTCATTTCACGTAGTCCCTGGTTGATTTCTCCACTATTGACGGGGTTTGGATTGCTCACTGTTCCGAACTAAGCACTCGTTTTTTCCATCAGTTTAGCAGTCCTATTTGCCACAATGCTGGCTTACTCGTGAAGTATCGCTTTCTAGGACATGCGTTAAATGATCATAACACCTGCCCGTAGCTTGAAGGTAACAAGCTTGTCTTGTAATCTGACGGTGCGGGTTCGAGCCCCCGTAGGATCAGGGTGACCCCGTCAGTTTTCTTATCTCACGTGCGGCCGGTGGTGGTTACGCGGCAGCGAAGCGTCGGTTCTGCGTACCGTCGTACTGCTGATGCCCATAAAACTGAGGAATGACAACTACGGTTTCCCACTACTAACCGTGGTCCGTCACTTATGACTGGTCAGAAATAGCAACTATTGATGACCTGTAACTCGTTTAACGGGTTTTTCCTCACGCCTTGTATTTGATGCCTTTTGGCAACAAACATCCATTAACTGTTTTTCTCCCATGCTTGCAACTTGGCATACTCGGCTTCGATTTTATATCGTAGTTTATTTGCAGCCAGTCTACTCAACGTAACGCGTCTTCTACACTGTAACTCTGCCATTTGTTTTACTCTGTGCAATATGCTCGCCGTCTATGCACTTTTCAAATTGACACATTGATAGTATCCGTGCATGATTTCTCAAACTGTGAACAAATTTGCCGATACGACCACTCGTTAAGAACCAGACAAACACCCGAATTTAGTCCCATTGACGTCCGTTTCAGTGCTCGGCAAAATTCTGCAGCGCTGAGGCTTTCGTTCTACAGGCTTTTCTCGCTCATTACCCTCTGTTTACTGCCGTTATCAACCATAAACCATACTAATCTATCACCACTATCCCAAAAAGAACCAAACATGTAAGCTTGATGTGTGTACTAAACAGAAAACCCAGATCGTTTGTATATAGGACACAAGTATTACACAATAGCTCGGGTGAATGGTCTCTTTGATTAACGGAATACATCGTCGAATGTATCTGCGATCACACTTGCCGTGCATCCATTGAGACCTTTTCGGGCTCAAGGGTTCTAGCAACACGAGCCCAGGATCAGACACAGTGACCACCGTAGAACTAAGGCGTATAAACACCAGAGTGTAAGCGCAGGTTTTCAACCTAATGTTGGTGCTCCAGATACTCAGTAAGGCTGCCTCACTAGCGCGTATATCACTCACACCCAAGGTAGTCAGGTCGGAACACCCAATCGAATACCGACCGTTAGCAGTAACTTCAGTGGTATTAAGGACGTTCCACAAAGTCCTGGCGCATCGATAGAGGCCGGCGATGAAGCTAACGTCGCTTTAAGTAGCGTTCCAGAATCGGGATGGGTGCCTTGAGGCCACCTATGGTTTTGCACCGTCTGTTGCATCGGGCACAGATGCGCAGTTCGGATGCAGCGGTTGCGTTCTTGGACGTAGCCAATGCGTCTGACACTGATTCGTTTGACTCGGTGCTTCGGGCGGCGTAGAGCCGACTGTACACAATCCGAAGTACTGTCGGAAGGTGAGAGACTTAAATGCGGTAGGGGAGTGAGGCATGGGGATCCCTTGTCTCCTCTGCATTCTTAGAGAGTAGCCTAAAGCGAGAAGCAGGATCGGTACGCTTTAGAACCAATGCGCGAATATAAAGCCAACATCCGATGAGTGGAGAACACCAAAAGTAACACTAGAAAAAATTTATTAAGTGGGGCGAATCGCTATCTAGTGCTAAAAATAAGGCACCGGAAGATAGCTAGCTAGGGAAAGGTGTGGTCGCGTGCGCGGAGAGCAAAGATGGCCGCGGAGCCGATGAGCGTCGCGCCGTTCGAAGGCGGATGCTATGTTGACTCAAACAAACGCGAGCAACGTTCAAACAGACGAGCGGCTAATTTGCTATGTACATCGAGAAAATATAATTTTGTGATTTTGTAATATTTTACGCAGCATGCGGCAGCCAAACAGGGGAATCTCCAGGTCACTACACAGCCCCCCTGTTAGAAGGGAACCGTAGGTGACCCTTCGATCTACGTGAGGACTGTCCGTCGCCGGCCAGCCTTCTGCGAGACCAGGCGGTGAAACATGATGCAGCTGCTGGTGGAGAACCAATGCGATCGGACGCTAGGGGGCTCCCACCCGTGTCCTCCCTACAGGTGCCAAAAACACAAAATGGGGAGAATGTTCGTAGCGTTCGAGTGCGTAGTGTCACAGCACATGATGTTTGAGCACGTAGTGTCCGAAAACGTAACGTTCGATTGTCGTTGAACGTCCGCGTGTCGGGGATATAAAAAAGAGGCGGAAACGCGGTGTCAAACAAGAGCGAGCGACAGAGCTAACAAAAGGCGATAGCACTTACCGAGTGCGATAAGCGAATAAAGCGAGAACCATTTTGTGTTTTCAAAACGATTTTCTCCTTTTTGGGTTCTCAAAACGTTTTTGCGGTTTTTGGGGTTTTCAAAACGCCTTGCAATTTTTTTGGGTTTTCAAAACTGCCGTTTTGTTGGGCGGGTTAGGCCACAAGCGAAAAGGAAGCGGGAAAGGAAGAATGAAAAAAGACTAATCTTTTAATCGCGCTGGCAAATGAACCTGCCTACCTGACCTAGTCGATTTCGGACGTTCGGTCGGAGGCGTTGTCGACCCAGCAGTTTTGTCGGATGAGGAAGCTTTCGGCTCGACAGAATCGGAAGGAACTGAGTCGTAAGGGTTAGTCGGAGAATGCTTCTTAGCATCGGAAGTAGGCGTGTCGTCGATCATAGGCTGCGTTGACTCGTCCGAAGGTGGACGGGAGTCATCGTCGATCTCAGGTTCCACATGGGCAACCTTGAGACGGTCGATAGAGACGGTTTCACGTTTACCGTGGCGGTCGATAACGAATACGCGGTCCTTACGTTTAAGAACCTTAAATGGACCTTCGTAGGGTCGTTCGAGTGGTCTGCGTAGACCATCAACTCGAAGGAAAACGTAAGGGCAATGCAGTAGATCCTGTGGAACGAACGATTTACGTCGTTGTTCTCGCACGTCGGTTACTTTGATATGGCGCATGCTCGTGGCTAACTGCCGAGCGTAATTCGCGTCGTAGCGGGGTGTTCTGGGGTTCCCATAAAAGAGGTCCCCAGATAGTCGAAGAGGTTGTCCATATACCAGTTCGGCGCTGGACGTGTGCAAATCAGCTTTAAGAGCTGATCAGATACCAAGTAGTATCATAGGCAGTGCTTCGGTCCAGCTTAGTGCATTAGCAGCACTAAGTGAGGCCTTCAGCTGTCGGTGGAAACGTTCCACCATGCCGTTGGATTGCGGGTGATAGGCGGTAGTCCGGATGCGTTGACATCCGAGGACTTTGAGAAGATCGTTGAAGGTCGAGGATTCGAACTGGGGACCGTTGTCGGTAGTCACAGTGGCTGGACAGCCATGTGAAGCGACCCAGCGCTCAACGAAAGCGCGCGTTACGGTGTCCGCGGATACGTGGGGTATAGGTACGGCCTCGGGCCAACGGGTGTATCGGTCGATCATGGTCAGAATGTAGACCATTCCTCTGGATGGTGCCAAGGGTCCAACTATGTCGAGATGGACATGGGCGAGGCGAGCTGAGACTTGCGGTAAACGACCAAACGGAGCGGACACGTGCCGCTGTATATTGGCCTGCTGACACGTTGGACAACCGCGTGCCCAGCGCTAAGATCGCGTTGCATTCCGAGCCAAACGTATCTCTCGGATATGAGCTTGATCTTGCCTCGAATGCCTGGATGAGCGATGTTATGAAGTGTGTCGAAAACTAGACGTCGAATGGTTTCTGGAACGACGGGTCGAGATCGTCCAGTAGAAGTATCGCACAAGATTGTGCCATCAGACGACGGCAGTGGATGCGATGTGATTCGTAGCGAAGAATCTTGTTTGACGTTCTGACAGTCGGTGTCGGTTAGTTGCGCGGTAGCCATGGCAGATAACTCGATTGCCTGGCCAGCGGTGTGGATTTCGGAGACGCGCGAAAGAGCGTCAGCAACGACGTTATTCTGACCTGAAATGTGTCGGAGGTCAGTAGAAAATTGAGCCACGAAATCCAGCTGACGAACCTCACGTGGTGCGTGTCGAGCTGATTGATTTCGAAAGGCGTAAATAAACGGCTTATGATCGGTGAAGATAACGAACGAATTACCTTCTAAGACGTGTCTGAAATGTCGGACGGTAGAATAAACTGCCAGCAGTTCGCGGCTGAATGTGCTGTACTTGACTTCTGCCGGTTGTAAGCGTCGGGAGTAGAAAGCGAGTGGTTTCCAGCATCCTTCAGTGAATTGCTGCAGGACGGCGCCAATGGCGGTGTCCGATGCATCGACTGCAACGCTGAGTGGAGCTTTGGGGTCGAAATGGTGAAGCATAACGGCTTTAGCCAAGGCCTCTTTGCAGGCCTTGAAGGCTTCGGTTGCAGCGGGCGTCAACTCGACGTTGCCGTTCTTGCGTCCACGAAGTAAGTCGGTCAATGGACTGAGCAAGTCGGCACAACGTGGCAGAAATCGACGGTAGTAGTTGATCATCCCACTAAAACGGCGGATGGCGGCCAAAGTAGTCGGAACCGGAAAGTCTTTAATAGCGCTGACTCGGTCTTCGAGCGGCCGTATGCCATGCTGGTCAATTCAATAACCAAGAAATTCGATAGATGGTTGCTTAAAGATGCATTTGTCAGCGTTGACAGTAATGCTATTAGAGGCTAATCTCTCGAAAAGCATCTCGAGGTGCTCCGCGAAGAACTAGCTACTAAGATGTCGTCTATATAAGGATAAACAAAGTCGAGACCTCTCGCGACAGAGTTTATGAAGCGTTGAAAAGTCTGAGCTGCGTTGCGAAGACCGAAGGGCATTCGCAAGAATTCGTAAAGTCCGAAAGGCGTGATGACTGCGGTTTTCGGAATGTCATCCTCGGCTACAGAGATCTGGTGGTAAGCGCGAACCAGATCGATCTTCGAGAACACACGGGCGCCACGTAGGCTAGCCGTGATGTCCTGAATGTGCGGAATCGGATAGCGGTCGGGGACGGTAGCGTTATTGAGAGCGCGATAGTCGCCACATGAACGCCAGTCTCCTGACTATTTAGGCATCATGTGTAGAGGCGACGCCCACGGGCTCTTAGACGGGCGAATTATGCCTAAGTCTAGCATGTGCTCGAATTCGGAGCGTGCAATTTTGAGCTTGTCGGGGGTCATGCACCTGGCTTTTGCGAACACAGGCGGACCTTTCGTAACGATGTGATGTGTCGCGGCGTCGGTTGCGGAAGACAACGGGACGGCAGGACGGAAGGCCTGCGGAAAACTATCGAGCAGCGTTTGCCCGACAGGTGAACTAAGTTGAGTCGCGTACACGGGACTGATTGACGCGGTGTGGGTCAAAGTCCCAATGACTGCGAGATTCGTAAGGCGGTCGACTAGACGGTGTCGCTCAACGTCGACGAGTAGGTCGTAATGACGTAAGAAGTCGGGACCAAGGATAGGCGTTTGAACATCCGCAACGAGGAATATCCATTTGAAAGCGCGTCGGAGGTTGAGATTTAGCGTGCACGAGCATTGACCATATACGCGGATAATGGTCCCGTTAGCTGCGCGCAATGAGCTAGTCACCTTTTCGGTCGGGTCGTTTGGATCACGCGGGAGAATGCTAACTTCTGAGCCAGTATCGACGAGATAGCGAACTCCGGTTCTACGATCGGTGACGAAGAAAAGGCGACTGCGTTGACCAGCTACGTCCGTCGCCCCTACGTGCTGGTCCGCCAGTTTCCCTGCTGTTGTCGTTTGAAGGAACAGGGCGGGCGACATGATTTAGCCTGCTGGCCCAATCGTTCGTGGTACCAGCAGTAACCGTTTCTATTCGGCTTGTTCCTCTCTCCCTTTTCTCTGAGGTCGTGAACATCGGAGAGCTTCGGGATTGAAATGAGGAACTGCCTCCGTCTGGGATGGGACGAAATAACCAACAAGTACTTACCTGGACCATGGCCTCACTTCCACTCTAACTATTTACACCTAACCACCGATGTCCAGTGAGGGTAGCTGGACACGAATTCTTCGCTCCCCGGCAAATATACATAATCAGAGAAGACTTCATGTGGTTCTGCGAAGGATCAACACATTATATTCAATAAGAATGTTTAGTACCCGACCTACCAACGGACAGGACCCAGGAACGCAATAGGCAACCAGTTATTGCATCAACCAGCGGAAAAATGGGACGCAACCTGACTGCGAATAACCGAGCAAACAGACTTTTAACAAGAAACATAGCCAGTTACAATTTGCCATTCAATGGATTGGTGGCAGTCTTCCACGACGTGGTGGGTTTTCGCCTGGCAAGCGTTCTCCCTACAAAAAGCCACAAATGTCCGTTTAACAACACTGCAACGTGGCGTTGTGACTCGCCACCGAATAAAGTCACAGCCCATAACTTTACACTGGCAGGTCAACTAGCGTCACAATTCTACATAAAATCGTTACACTGGGACTTCTACATCTGTATATACTGTTGTCGTTTTACATCCTACCATACGTTGCCCTTTTCCTTCCTTGTTTGCGGGCTCTTCCATTACCTTTCAGTGGATCATTCAGGTTTCTCAATCTCTTATTAGCTGAGGTCCCGTATCTCATGACAGCCAACTTATTGTTTCCCATTCTCAACATTGTACAGTTCCAATCATGGATATATGAACAATTTTCTGCGTTACTGTTCCAATTGCATTATAATGCTTGTACCGTTGTACATATCTGATCATGCCTCCATGAGCGTGCCTCGCATAGTCGAGAATAAAATATTTATTTATTTATTTATTTATTTATTCGGTGATCGCGAAGGAGAGTTCGAACGTGAACGCGAACGGCTCCTAGAGCATTTACAGCGTTTATGTCCGGAGGCCGAAAAGTCTGCGAATTGTCGGGTCAATGTTGCCATCTGGGATTTAAGCGTGGCGATATCGTCGTCCGGTTTCGTCTGGACCTGCGAAACCTGGCCGTACGACTCCCAAATTCGGTCGGCTGTATCGGCCAGTTTGGGTAAAGGTGCATCCTCACTAGCGCAGAGGATGTGTAGCATCTCGCGCGGAAGTCGTTGCAACCACATGTCTCGAAGAAAAGAATCATCTATCGAAGTGGGTTTAGCTGGGCTGGCTCTGCATTTTTCGAAGCAGCTGAGACGGCTTGAGATGGCCAAGATCGGTTTCGTTGAGGAGTTTCGTAACTCGTTGTAGATCGGATAAGCCTGTTCTTCTCAGAACAGCTGTCTTGACTGCATCATAAGTCTTTTGGTCGTCAGGAAGATCTAGAATGTCATCAATGTCATCGATGACATTTAGCGGAAGCGCGGAAACGACAAGGTGGAACTTGGTCTTTTCGGACCTAATACCACGCAAAGAAAATTGCGATTCTAGCTGACCAAACCAAGACTTCGGATTAGTCTCGCGAAAAGGTGCGATAGGAAGCGTAACTGTGCCGATCTGAACGTCAGAATCTACGCGATCAGTTTCCATAGCGAGCAAAATAGCGAGCCAGCGAGATTAAACCGGAAAATTAAAAGTGAAAATCAGACGGGTTAGCGAAAAAATGTGGCCAAATCTGAAAAGAAAGGTTAGCGAAAACTCACCGGATAACGACCAAAAGTCGGGGTCACCAATAAAGTGAGAAGCAGGATCGGTACGCTTTAGAACAAATACGCGGATATAAGGCCAACCTCCGGTGAGTGGAGAACACCAAAAGTAACGCTAGGGAAAATTTATTAAGTGGGGCGAAAGGCTATCTAGTGCTAAAAATAAGGCACCGGAAGATAGCTAGCTAGGGAAAGGTGTGGTCGCGTGCGCGGAGAGCAAAGATGGCCGCGGAGCCGATGAGCGTCGCGCCGTTCGAAGGCGGATGCTATGTTGACTCAAACAAACGCGAGCAACGTTCAAACAGGCGAGCGGCTAATTTGCTATGTACATCGAGAAAATATAATTTTGTGATTTGTAATATTTTACGCAGCATGCGGCAGCCAAACAGGGGAATCTCCAGGTCACTACAGTTATCCTCGCTTTTACCAAGGTGCTAGTTCTCGCGACTGCGGCATAAGACTTGGGCATATGCATCAGCCCATTTCGTTCCCACTGAGCAACGGTGTTAAGTCCAACGTAGTGGACGACGCGCAACTACTTTTCCCTTTCTATTTAGAAGACCCAGGCCTGGGCAGACCCACTGATGAGATAGGTGTCTCGCTGTCCGAGTGAGAAACGGCTTACGCAGAAGCAGTACGTAGGTTGAAAGGGT